GTCTGTACTAGTTAGGCCAGGGGGATTAGACCTCCCTGCAAGGTCACTGACTGGTGGTTACCTCATCATATCAGATCTCAATGGACGTAAGAAAAAGAGGATCATGGGGGACCAACAGGCACCGATTAAGCATTGTTTGCTATATAGAGGGTGCAAGTAGCAGTGGGGCTTTAAAGGCTGAGTGGTGGTTTGATTTGATCCTAATTCTAATATATAAGTCTGACTTTAATTAGGTTCACAAGACTCTTTCAGTTTAGGACATGGTTTAAAACTTCACAATTTATCTTGCAGTTAGGGACTGTGCAGACGCACTTGAGGTTATGAAACTCAAGTTTACTCGAAGTTATAAACCATGAGTCATCTAACATGTAAGGTTAGCGCGATAATTACAAGCAGCAGGGGGTCTTCACTTGAAGTTACACGCTGTTTGGATGAAAATGACTTTGAGGTTATGCCAGGTTGTAGTTAGAATGAAAGCTTTTCCAGTTAATGGATCAAGATTTGTCAAACTTAAAGTTTAAAACTATGGCCGGTCCTTTATGAACATAACTTTTTGTCTGTATTGACATCTGAAGGCGAGATATATGACTTGCTAGCTATTCACTGCCATATCCTGGGGTGTCCTGAGAGGGAGGATGTGGGGGATTAGGAAACCCCTTCTACACCCCCTCCCCAATCCCCAACTTCATTCTTCATTTTTTTTTTCTTGGGCATTTTTTGGAATTAATTTTTGAGCCTTGTCAACAAAATTCACGAGAATGATTGCCCTTTTTTTTAAGTTTGGAAAATTGCAGGCTAACTTGTCAGCAAGAGGTCTGATCTTCAACCCCCCCCCCCCAAAAAAAAAAACAACAACAACAACAACAACAACAACAACTACTGGGGTCTGGAGCAGATATGATTCAAATTGTACACATATGCAATGCCAATGCTTAAAGGGTATGAACAGCCAGATCCTTATAGAAATAAGGCATGTGTTTGAGGTTTATAGTTTTCCTCCAGACCAGAGAGTACAAATCAACGCTCTCTTGAAAGCCTCCATCATCTATTCGTGAGACTGCAGTTTAATTAATTGATATTTTATCATACAAAGCTAATGACCTTCTGGCTTTCGCTAGATGGCATGAAAGATTGATTCCCTGTTGATTCTAATCTGTAATGGCCATCAAAATTAATAAATGGGCATTTCTTGCTTGTACACATGGAACTCCATACTATTTGCTAGCTTATTTACAGGTAGTTTTTATGCCTACTATTTGCTCACTTCTTCTTAAAGGGATCGTTTAACAATGTCAAATCTGAGATACACGGCCCTACATGTTATCAGTGTCTGTGATATGGTGTAATATTGAAGCCCTAAAAAAATTGCGCTTCAAAATGATCAAGAAGTGCCTCAAAAAAGTAAAAAATCTTCGAGTGACCGGTTTTACCATACTCGTTTTCCCCAATAGACTGTAGTGTTATGAAAACCGTCAGGCGAATGGTTTTCAAAATGTGTAATTCCAATCATAAATATCTTGATAATCAGACAGGGGATCGGCTTGTAAAAGTCATGGGGTTCCTGATTGACCTAAAGGTTTATAATTATCATTGCATCATGAGCTAAATCCAGAATTTTGTTTCAGAATCTGAGACAAAGTTACCGGATCCCTTTAAAACTTTAGATATTGGGACTGCATATTATAGCCGACCAATATGAAAGATGTTAAAGCCTATACCTGTGTATTGTGAGGTTGATTGATAGAGTTTGGGCATTTTTATATGAGACAATTAACTAATTGCTATGTGCATGACTTACTTTTTCACATCAATTTTGAACAAGTTTGCAAATGCATTTACTATGAAATCAGATTTGACTGAACTTGCTCAATCCATGGCAAATATACCCTTTTCTTCAGCACATGAACCTTTAAAAACTTTCAAACTGCTTGGACTGTATTGAAAAATTAAGGTCCGTAGGCACTCACATATTTCATGAGGAAATATTCATGGAATGTCTTATTGCCCGCATTAATAACTTTCTCCCCGGAATCCCCTATGATTGATGCATATTTCGGGCGAATACCACGCTTGTCATTAGGCTTATTCACATTGTAAAAAAACCATCAGTTTTTTTAAAAAACTACATTTACACAACTGGAAAAAACCCATTAGAGTTCAATGAAACCCATCAGTGTTTGCTTATTATTTCTGTGTTTCTTTTTTTCTGCATGCACCTCTTGATGCTGCTCTTATTGCATTAGCATGGAAGAGAGGAGAGTCACATGACCAAAAGTGGGAATAGTCCACCAAATCACACAAGCATTTAAAGATAAAGTTGAGTTCTGGTCATGTGATTGCATTGTGAAAAAAATGGTGTGGATTAATCTATCAGAAAAGGTTGATCATCTAGTATATAAGTATTTGTGTGTATTGCAAGGTTCTGGAATCATCAAAATGATAAGAAATTTGGCCAAGTCTTGGCAAAGTTACAAGCACTGTACACAGAATGATGTAAATGGGACTACACGAGCACATGGCGAAAAAAACCTACCCCCCCCCCCCCCCGATTTTTAGGATGTTTCATGTCGTATTTAGAATATGAAGGCATTTGAAGAGCCATGCTTTTCAGGGAACATGTTTAATCTGATGTTCTTGCACCCTTGCATAATAACAATGATAACGCTCACAAATTATTTTTTACCTCTTCCCAGAACTCAACCTTCTCTTTAAACCCCTACACAACGGTTTAGTTTCAGCCGGCATTTAACAAAAAACACTTCATGTTTTTATTTAAATTTGGGTTTTTCATCATTTTTATGGGTACATGTAGTTGGCTATAGCGACTTCTAACAAAACTCTGGAATGTGAAAAAAACTGATGGTTTTTCCTGACAGTGTTAATGGAGCTATTTTCTGATTGTATGCCTCCCACTCCAGCTCTATCAGATGCTGGCTGAGCTAGTTTCCATGTGAATTCTCCATCAATACCAAAATATGAATAAATTTGTCTTTAAGGACAATCCAACACTTGTAAAGTTGTAAAAAAGATTAATTTGTATGAAAATAAGAAAAACTATAATGAATTTCTGTTTTTCTCCTATTCCCCTTCTAGTTCTACCTCTCATGGATAGCATATTATACATACATGTACCGGTAGGTCCTCTTAAGAGAAAAGACCTTCATCAGTCATACATTTTAAAGAAAAAAAATAGTTTTTTTGTTATTTTTGTCTGTTGGAATAAATGGGAAAGTTGTTCACCACTACATCACAGAGACATTACTGATTCAGCCAATTAATACCTATACCGTATAATTCTTACAACTTTTAAAATGTTATGACTTTTTCATTATTTTTGTCAAATTTTCTCCTTAATTCTTTGATTTGTCTGCTTTCCGCTAGACAACTAGAATTGTTTGATTATTAAAGTTGAATTTCACTTTAATTCTTTACAGCCAACAACGTGAAATCTAAAGAAAAAAGAAAGTAATTGAGCAATTACTTATTACATCATCTGTTGCTTGTAGTGAGGGATTGCATAACTAGTGTCATTGCATTGCCAGTTGCATTTATGGTACATAGGGTCTTATTTACAAGACTAGCCTAGATATGAAAGTGATGTTTTCATCCAAAGGGAAACAACCCTTGGAGCAGTGTATTGTGTTTCCAGCATCATATACTGTGGAGTCGGCTCAGATCAGGGATGCAACACGTGTGTGTATAAAGCCTGTAGAGAAATCCATACAACCAGAAATCAATCGCTGGAAGATGAAAGGACAGAACTGACTGGACCATTGTTTCCCAAATTGATTTATCTCGAAGGATGTGAATGAAGTTTGTCAAATTCTTAGCCAAGCCCTTGGTAGAGAATCGAGTTGTTGGCACTGTATGTGGAACCGGCAGTGTTTAGGAGTGTTCTGCAACTAGATGATTATCATTTGTGTCATTACACAAAATACATAGATGGACATCATTTGTAGATGGGCAGGATACAGTGAACACATGTGGAATCAGAATTAGGATCAGGTATAGTTATTCTCGAGATGGTTTTGATTGTCTTCATATTTGGACGGAGATGACCAGAGACTGTCATTTTCACAATCTTCCATGTAGCTACTTCAACATGTTCAACGGTCACTCATCTGATTCTTGAATGTTTTCAATGTATTTGATTTTTCTTTCATCCACCGATTGATGCTTCAACTGCAAGTATTAGCATCAGAGTGAGAGTTTCCTGGTACTGGTTATGGTAGTTTGTGATGTTATCATGTTTGAAGATGATATTGATTGTTGAATGTTTTCTCATTTGGACTTGTGTGAAGATGACCAACCAAGGAATATATGTCATGATATATAATTCCACAGTTGGAGGCTACTTCAATGATCCAGCACCTGATTCTTCAAAATTTGAAGTGTATTTGATTTTTCTCGTGTACAACAGTTGACGTTGTGATTGTGAGTGCTTGCAGATGAGAAATATAAGCAACCTGATTATGCAATCTTTTCATTTTATGAGGATAATGTTGAAGGTCTTCACATTATATTGACCAAGATCGATGAGCAAGGAATGCGATGATGCATAATTTGCACTTGATCTCATCCAACTTCATCTTTCGATTCTTCAGGATTTTACATTGAATTTCATTGTTGTACAGTTACTGCAGTGATTGTATTAAAGCGAATACTTGAATGTGTCACAAAATTGAAGTTATTTTCCTCTAACAGTGCTTTGAAGTTTCAGTGCAGTGCATATGGGGAGAAAGCAGAAAGTACATTGTACAACCCCACGCTTTGCCGTCCAAACCATTCTTGAGACCTGACAAATAACGGCAAAGGGGAGCGTTTTATGAAACAATCAGTCGGTAGTTTTTACTGACTAATATAATTTTCACCAACAGTTTTCAATTTACAACAAAACATTACACATTAATTATAAACATTTACAACATTTATTGTCACCGACTATTTTCCAGGCCTATGATTGGTCAAATTTAGTCAGTGGCGGTGGACAAATGTTGATGAAATGTCCCCCTGTTCTTTAAACTTCCATGCAGGATATTGCTGTATTTTATTGTTTTAGGGTATCTCAGTGTCCAGGAAGAACACAGAAATAGGAGCCATGTTTTTTAGTGAATGAGATGTATTTCCTTCAGCTTGACATCCTATGTTATTGCCTCTTGTTTCTCAAATGGTGGATATTTCCTTATTTTTTGGTAATGGAAGTGGTTAAAATCTTTGACAATTGACATCCTCATTTGCAGGAAGGTGATATTAAACCACTTTTGTCCACTCTGTGGTATAAACTAGCATCTACAAAACAGAAGTCTTGTTATGGAACTTCCTGATCCTGTAGATTAGATCGTGTTTACCTCAAGAACGGCCAACTTTGAAATAATCCAGAATTATCCTTTTCTGTCATAAAATTTCAGTGCGAAGACAAACTGCAGATTGGTTTCATATTTCAGGTTAATTATGTCAATGACCACTAGCAGCACAGCATGTGACCAGGTCTGAGATGTGATAAATACCTGTCTTCAGGGTGAATAGCTGAAAAGAAAACAACACCTCTCTCTGGTTTTGAGAATTCCATCGTTCTTCTTTTGAAGTCCATATTTTACTGCAGTAAATAAAATGTATTCCTACATGTTTATCATATTTGATGACATTTTGACATCATTCCAGAAAGACAGAAATATTTCAAAAGTTTCTGGCCTGTAGCATAGCATAATATTTTTCTGTGTAGAAAGTGAGGAAAATGTACCCCAAGAAATAAATTTAAAGAAGAAAGCCAAGATGAAGACAGAATGACAAAACCCGCTACAAGCAAATAATCAACAATAGAATATTCAATCCCAGTCAAAACCCTTGATAGCAGAATATAATTTATTTCACTCTAGGTGAAAGAGATTGTACAGAAATTTTTTTGTCATTAGTAACCTGTAGACAAATATATGAGTGGGCTTGAAATTACAATCAGTGTAGGCTTGAATTATATTTGTCTTAAATCAAATGTTCAATGACAGCTTTCACTTTTCATTCTGAAGTGGTGTAGTTTATCTTTTGATCAAGGAAATACATAATATGTTCATGTGATCATGACAGCTTAGATCTTATTTTATCACTTCTGAAACCAAAATAATAATACTTCCTTGTTTTCATTTGAACCATCTCAAGCAAAGCGCAAATGATACTAGTACAACCTTGCTGAATTTCCTGGAGCTGCCAGATATTCTTGTCATAAAAAGATTGGCTGAGAATGCATGAGATAATATATACTTTCCAGTCTGCTTAGAGAGAGGAAGCAAATTTTCAGAGAAGAGATAAAGCGAGAAATTATTAGAATATCTGTTTAAAAGCTAGGCTTCTCACTATCACAGTCATTTCTATTAATACAACATATGAATATTCAATTGAGGCGTGGATGGGAAATTTCATCTTCAATTTTCTTGAACTTTAGTCAATTTCTCTTTTACTTTGCATCTCTTCTGGAAGGCAGATTAAGGGGTCTAGATTACTGGCCAAGTCTCTTCGGAGAGCCCTCTGGTTTGAATGAGGTTACTTCAACAGTGAATGAATTTCAAGTTGGGGAAAAGTGAAATTTCTATTCCAGGCTGTGGAAAATTGTTTTCTATTCCGGAGATGTGTGGATGGATTATCATATGATTATTTCCAGTCGTTTGAAGATTCATATTTGAGTTTGTGTCAGCATTTTTTTTGGTCACCACGAGAGATGTAATCAGTTTTTCAAACGTCATGCTGATCTAGAGCTTTGTCGATTGCCGCTCCTGCTTAGAATATTTGTTCAATTAGTCGAGCTTTCTGGACAGTGCATTTCACTTGTGCTTCATTCATTGCTTTCTGTTGGAGAAGGAACAATACACAAAAAGAACTTAGAAGCCATATTTTATATTTAGGGTCTTATATTTGATGATGAATGCTATGATGAGCTGAGGACTACCAGTTCAATATTTTTTTCTTCTTCATATAATGGTTGGCTGCAGTGGCAACTTGCTTGTGATGCTGAAAAATTAGCTTTATCTTTGATATTCATTCATCTTTATATTGTGACTGATGGAAATCGCTATTTGCAATTTGAGTTTGATTCAGAAATATTAATATTGTTATTAGGAGACATTGTTTGCAGTGATGCCATAGACAAGTCAAATCGCTTGAGATTTGCCTTCTTGATTTGAAGATTTCTGGACTTGTTGACTTTATGGGTGAAGGAGGCAGAGTCAACAGAAGAAAGAGAAGCAAATTGTATACTCTTGAGTAGCTGAAGTACGTTGCTGGCAAATCATGAGTATATTCGTACTGATTGTTTCATCAATGTTATACAGGTTGGAGAAAAAACTTGTGATACAGAAGAGCCTGGCATGATGCTAAAGAAGACCAGTATACCAAGAGTTTGCAAAACAGACATCATTAAGTGTCTAATGAGGCAATCGTAAACTCAAAACACAAATATTTACTAGCTTATCTTGACACCAACATTCCATTGGATCTCTACAGAGAATGAGAATATTCAATTCAATCGATCTCAAGCATTAGAAAACCCATCATTCCCTTTGGAAAAATTGTATGTGGTGTGAGAAGGGTTAATGTAAGACGGCAGAGTTCATTGAGAAGTTGGAGGACCCCAGGGGAACGATAAAAGGGGGTGAAGGTGAGACCCAATATGTCTTTCTTTTGCGTGGTGAGTTCAGGGGAGGAGAAGCAGGTTCATGTGAGGCAAGTGATGGAGGAAAGCAGTGGACAGGACTCTCCCTCCGTGGAGGATGCACATGGGAGATGTTCCTGGGGTGATGGTGGGTCACCTTCAAACAGAGACACACCTGTTACTGGTGGCAGCGGTGGGATACAGAGAGACGATCATTCCTCAGCGGTCATAAAGGGACCAGAGGAGAGATATAGATCAGAGATAAGACTTAGTACAGGGCCAACGCAGCAAGAGCAGCAGTCAAATAGTATGCACTGGAACAATGATTACAATCCATCAGACAGTGCTAACCTGAGGAAGACTCTGAAGGAGCTCACTGCAAAGTCAGATGGTGATCTGAGAAGGAAGGAATTCAGCCAATCTAAAGCAGTGCATGACAAGTTTTCGCAATCAGTGACGGGTAACCCTGCTGTGGGTGTGCTGCATGGAGCAAAGGTATTTCCATTTAGTGACCCAAGGAAATTGGAGCAAAAAATTGATGCAACGGGTCAGACCTTGCGAGAGGGAAAACCACCTCTGTTGCGCCAAGCAGCAAGAAGTAACAGAAACATGATGAAAGGGGATAGGATAGAGAAGAGCCCAGTCACAAACAAAGTGGGGCAGCTTAGACATCGCTGGGAGGTACTTGCCACTAATGATCCCCAGCCAAAGCAGCAAGTCAATTCAGCAACACCAAGTGGTCGAGGCAATGGAGAGGTCCCTAGGCCTAGGCGAAGGTTGACAAGTGATGAACAGAAACATGAAAGACCTCCTCTACCACCTAAAACAAAGCCTAAACCTAAGAAGGATGTGAGGGAGCGTTCAGAGGCATTTATTGAGTGCATTGAACCTCCTTCATCTCAAGATGAGCAAGATGCTGGCGTGTCTTCTGCTGCCCCTGTACAGCAGAAGATGGAGGTGAACCGGTCAGCGCATCAGATGAACCTGCACACTCTTTACACAAAGAGAGAAGATTCTGGACTCAGCAGTGCATGCAGCACCATCAGCCTTGAGAATTACCCTCTCCATAATCACTCCTACAACCTACCGCCCAATGCCAGTGATCGGAGATTCAATTATGCCTCCAAGAAATCCGACCAGCTCTCCGATGTAAAGTCAACAACACAAGATGCCTTGCCCAGACCAGAAACACAAGTTGCCTTCTTTGATGCGGAAACGTCACATTCTATATTGAAACCCGGGTTCGACGTAGTACAGAATAAGCCGAGGCCGGGAGAAGACCATTTTCAGCCTGACGAAGTTCTTAATGAAAATTATTCCAAGGGATTTATCTCAAGTCATAAACATTTCCACCCAGAGCAGATCATTGAGGAAAATGTCTCCTCTGAAGAATTTGCTAATCTTGAAAAAGGAGTACAACCATTTGGAGGAATCCCTTTGAAAAATGGGAATAACTTGCATGGGGAAAATGACAAAGGAAAGGATCAGAATTCTAATGAATGTGAAACATTAAACTTGAAAGCAACAGGAAAGACAGAGGCAAGTATTAATCTTTTATTTTAGGTGCTCATATAATATTATCAATTCTCTTTAAATTCATTCATTCAATTGTTTTCATTATTGAATATCATTTTTCTTTGTATTGTGTTGGCTAACTTTTCCTTTTGCTATGAGTACATTTCAGGTATGATGTCTGTATATTATCACAGATTAAATTTTTAAAATGAAATATGTTGTCATATGACTGAGAACCAAAAGGGCATTACCTGATTATTCACTTGAATTTAGGCACAATTAATGTCCTTTGGTCTCTCAGAAAACCATTTTATTTTGCATATATTCTATTCTATTATTTCTTAGGGTACTCAAGCTTTCATGCTCCAATTTCGAGTTAGTAATCTCTCTTTGCTTCCCTATTTTTCTTCTCAGCCACAAGCCAAGGTAAACAGGCCTCTTCATTTCAATTTGGGAGCTGCCACAGCGAGAGTCCGACCAGCATGCATTTCCTCATTATTCTCTCCTTTCAAATTTCAGTGCTAAATCACAACGGGAATTGATATTGATGATTGTCATCTAATTGTCTCTCAGAGTTCCCCTTTCAGGTTGTCTTGGTATGTTTTAATCCTCGCCATCTGTTTCGATTTCACCGGCTCCAAAGCTCCTCGGAGCATCCAGGATGGATTCCACATTCTAAGTCATCAAATTCAGACAGATAGCTTTCAATTTGGATTTTTTCATGCTTTCATTAGGTATCATGTCTTCATCAGCTCAAGATTGCCAAATAGCCCGCTATTTCTGATTTGGGAAATAAGCCCGAAGTTACAAATCGCGTCTTCATCAGCTTGAGACTAGACCTCGAAACTCGAAACCCTAGCTCAAGAAATTAGCTTCAGATATTTTGCTCAGCGTTCGCGCATAGTGTGATTCTTTGGGCTGGTGAACACGCACTGGACAAATAGCGGGATATTTAGCAAACTAGCCCAAGATATCTTGGGATGATTATCTCAACCAAATATCCCGCTAATTACAACTGCGGGCTGATGAAGATGCAAATTAGCTGGATAATTTGCGAACGGGATAGTTAAACACGCGGATTATTTGGCAATCTTGAGCTGGTGAGGACAAGCCTATAGATAGCTTTCAATTTGTATTCTTTCATGCTTTCATTTACTGACATATGCAGTCCGCCATTTTGTCTACATGTCTGTGTTTGTGTTACAATGGGTTATTGAAGATCTAAGTTTGAAAAATGTAGAACCAAATGTTGGGAGACAAGTTACCCCTAGAGGCTGGAATTGTTTGAGAAAGTGAACTTCCTTTGTGGCATGTGAAGGTATTGCAATAAATCTAAAGGTTATCAAAATTATTTCTTTAAATTTAGTTATTTGAGAGCTTTGATCTTTAAGTTCGAAAGATAAACTTCAGGAGAACATAGATAGTTAAATACATCATATATAGCCACAATACATGCAGAAGGGTACACAGTGATATTTTAAAGGTTGAAAAAAAAAACACTTACAAGCCTTTTAAAAGTAGTTTAATATTCTTTTGCTTGCCAGTTTATTTAAATAGAATCTTTCCTTTTGAATTGTTAAATTGTTAAATATTTTGTTTGTATGTTCCTATTTTGCACATTGTAGTCCTATATATCAAAGAAAACAAACACTTTCAGTTTATTCATTTTATTCCTTTTCATTGATTTATTATCCGGAGTAGGTGGAAACCATCTATGTTAGGTCTGACCTTCCATACCTATCTCTTGTTTTTCCTCTCTGTAAGACTGTATTATTCTGTTCTTCCCTTCCCCTTGTCTTTCCCAGGTCTGTCTCCTCATTTTTCAAATTCCCTCCTCTCTCTCTCTCTCTCTCTCTCTCTCTCTCTCTCTCTCTCTCTCTCTCTCCTTTTTTCTATCTTTCATCTTCTTCTTTTTTTTTGTCTTGGTATCTGAGTACTCTTGCAATATAAATGCCATCTTTCATTCTTGCCCCTATATCTCCTTTTCTGTCTCTCTAGTCCATACCTCTACCTCTTTTGCTGTCTCTCTGTTTGCCCCCCCCCTCTCTCTCTCTCTCTCTCTCTCTCTCTCTCTCTCTTTCCCTCTCCCTCCCCCTCCCCCTCCCCCTCCCCCTCCCTCTCCCCCTCTCCATGTCTGTGGGAATTAGCATCAACGTAAACATTATACAAACCCCAAATGTAAATCCCCCTTTTTCTGATTCTCTCCACTCAAGTACCTTTATTCACATCGGGTAAAATCAACCCAACCACTTACATCAATGATCGAGAGGGCTTGAGACTGGCCCATTTGCATGAGAACAAATGATAGCAAATGATTTCCCTTTGAAAAGAAACGTCCACGCTTATCCATATACCAGGCTTATCCATGACACGGTCTCATGAAAAGAGCACACATGTTGTTTATAATAGGGGAGGAAGCTTATTGCAAACTGTGCTGGAGTGAGTGAGGAGGGGGAGGGGTAAGTCGGATGCCTATAAAACACAGACTTGGTTTATCATTAATTCATGCCAGCTCAGGCGACTCAGGCGGCTGCTGAGGGATGTGAGCATGTATGACTCGTTGACTGAGCCTTGTTCTCATTCATATGAGTCCCTTTAGTCCACACCAGCAACATTGCCACCTAGGTTTATGTTAGAGATCTATAGATGATACTCTGGAGGAATATAGGACCTAATCAAGTCTAGGACTAATATTGGAATACACTGGAATATTTGACATTAGCTTGTATTTGCATGGCAGCATGGAGGAAAGCTAGCATCTTCACCAATTTTAATTGTGTTTGTTGAAATGTGCTTAGAAGACTACAGTGTCTGGTACCTTCTTTTGTTGTCATTGACTTGACCTAATCAAGTTTAGGACTAACTTTGGAATACACTGGAATATTTGACACTAGCTTGTATTTACATGGGAGCATGGAGGAAAGCTAGCATCTCATCTAATTTTAATCACATTTGTTGAAGTGCCGGTATAAGACTAGAGTGTCTGGTGCCTTCCTTTGTTGTCACTGACTGGATGATATTGTCAAAGCAGCCACTAGGTGAGTAAGTCGGAAATGCTGCATAGAATCTGATGGGCAGATGGAACAATACCAAGTATTGTCTGGCACCATACTATTAGCACAATTTATGACCGGTTCTTTATTGATTTTGGCTTAGGATGTCTTCTTCTTGAGATGTTGGTTCTTTGTCTAAATATGGGTAGCTTATGTCTCAATGAGTTTTGTATGCTTGTAAAGAAGATGCGTAAATAGACTACTGCTACACTAAACATCCTTGGACATATATTACCGTATATGCTTTGCCTTGCATTGTTAGTTGTGCAACTAACTTTGAAAAATGATAGCTTCCCAAATATCTTTTTTGAAAGAATTCATTTAAAGAACAGAACTATATTTGGAATGCAAAAAAACAATACCAGTCAAAGTCATTTTATAATAGGTGTGTGCTGTAGCTTCCAGTTCCATATTCTATATATAGGCCTATTTGATCAATTTTCTAGCTGGTTATCAAAATAAAAGTGGATCATAAAATCAAAAGTACTTCTAATTTCTATTCTTAATTCTTACATAATTCTTATAAAATTTTCAGTGCCTTCACACAAAGATTCAAAAGTAAAAAGGCCTACCCTACCGTGAATAACCTGTACTCAAAGTTAAAGTAATCCTGGCTACATGCAACTGATTGACAATGTATCATTTCCTTCAGAATATATCTTACAATTTAAATTTTGATCTGACAAGTTTGAGAGTTGAAAGGTTCATAACCAACAAATCTTCAGGAATGTCAGAATTCTGAAACTGATGTGAAATACGCATTGATGCCTGACCTCAACATGAACCTTAGGATGGTACTCTGCATGTGTTCATTCAAACAACTATGATTACTGTTGACAAGATAAAGAGTATAGAATATAGCTTGTAAACAAAAGCAAGATGGAAGTACAAAGTAAACTATACTAAAAATATTAAATACAACATGTTTTCATTTGCCTAGATCAGTGGAGCAGCAAGGCAATGTTGTTATTATTAAGAATGACAGTTTGTCACAATAATGCCCTCTCCGTGAACCTATTGCTATTTATTTCATGCTGAAACCTCTCAATTAGGGTTGAAAAGTTAACAAGTGACAACAAGGTCCAAATCCTTGATGTAATGATGCTTGTTGCTACTTGTATCAATATAGTTTGTAAGATGAAAGCATTTCCCTCTCTGATTTCTAGGTCATTTTTTTGTTTGGCTTTTCTTCATGGTCCTTGATTACATATAATTGGAAGATTTTCTGGATCCTTTCAGATGAACCATGCAAAGATTACAATTGTCATTTGTAGAGTGATGTATAGGTTAACCCTTTCAGGACAGGATTTGTTTTAGCGTTAAATTGGCCACATGTTGTTCTTCAAATTTGCAACAATTATATTTTTCTGTTCTTGCTACATTGTTAGAATAAAATGTAATGTTTCTAAAAACAATGTACATGGACGGGAATGTTGTTGAAAAGTTAAACAAGTTTTAAAGAAAGCCATCTCTATTTGATAGTCAATCTTGAAAAAAGATATGTATTGATGAAATTGGGTCGGTCGTCTATCTCCACATTTTTATTTCTCCTAATTTAGTAGAGATTACTCATAGAAAATACCAGTATCTTCTGAGTTACTGCATTACATGATAGCCAAGGGACAATATTCTTCACTCATTTCTTGAAAAATATCTTTCATTTCCTTCCATTATGTTCATAATGATAGTTGAATCACTGGATGTACATGTACTTGAGTGTCTTTCCGCAGTGTGGGCATTTTATTTTGTAGAAAGTACAGATGGGACTCTGAGATTGAACACGCAATCAGAATGAATCCATTACCAAAATTTAGAATGGAATTTGGAGTTGATCAAGTTTGAATGGACTACTCAATGATCATTTTCTGCCCTGGATATAGTGGGGGCGTTTTCACGGGACCCTCGTAAGCACAAGTTCAGCAACATCCCATTGAAACGTTTGCTAATGTTAGTACTCGTGTTTCAATGGGATGTCCATGAGCTTGTACTCATGGGGATTTGGTGAAACCACCCCAAAATTGTCGAGTGGGACTAGTTTTTAGGCCTATATATTTATGTGAGCTCAGCTGATTAGAATGCTTGATATACAGCTTGTCATATGATGCTCAATTCCAGAATTCCTAAGAGAAAATGGAGATCATGGTAGATTACAGAAGATATAACTACATCATACCGGAGGAATGTGTTATCTTGAAAAACATCAGAGCCCAGTGAAAATTTTTATGAGTTGTACTTGTATAAACAAAAACTGAGTAGTCATGAGTCCTTCTAATTTAAAAGGAACAATAAAAATAAATGGAAATGGACTTTACCATGAAGATTGCATTTTTGTGTTAGGCACAAAAGAAACAGATCTTTCTATGTATTTTACTCATTTTGTTTCTAAAAAACGAGAATTTTCAGAAAAAGCGAGACAAAACGGTTATTCAAATATTCCTATGATTTCATGGCAGCAGAGAAAAAAGATATCACTACTTTCAAAGTAGATTATAGAAATTCTGGAATTTGAGGGTGAAAGTTGTATGCTAAATATCAGAACCAACCATGAGTCTGAATAATAATATAATGTAATGTAGTTCATCGTAAACTACTTTAATTGAATATGCATCTTTGATTGCCCTCCGTATTTTAAACATACTACCTACCGGGTATATCTTTTAATCAGCTCATATACATGAATAGAATCAACAGATACATGCTGATAAAACCCCATTAGGTCATGCATGGGTCTCTGAGTGATTATCTTCTTCAGATATACATGTGGTTGCAGCTCCAGCCACAACCAATAACAAATAAATTTGTATTATTACCAGGAATATTGTGTAATATGTATAGTCAAGGAGTTATAAATGTAGAACTCCTCGGTATAGTGGCCTACTTCTAATTATCTTTTATTCATAGAAAATAGTTGGACTTCTGTAAAGAATATTTCATACATGTATAATAGTGATTGTACAGTAACTGTCCTTCTAGGCCAAAACAACAGGAAATGAAAATATGATCAGTTTTCAAAATAATTGTATTTATTTAATTCATATAATTGTTATTGTAATTTCATACATGTATATATATTTATTGTCTCAAACTGTAACGCCTACAAAAATATAAATGCAAGCTGACTAGACAAAATGTTCTAAATGAATATTTTGAGGTTGATTCTGAAGGGATGTACCTGTGAACCTGCAAGGAAATGGTAATTGATGTAGAAGCTGGCCACCCCCCCCCCCCCTCTCCCAACCCCCCTCCCACCCCCCACCCCCCACCCCCTCATAAAAAACTCCCGCAGCTAGGCTTATTAACTACTCCATAGCACCACACTATCCTAGCAGCTAACCAGCATGCCAGTTTACAAAGAAAGTTGTCGGAAGGAAAATATGGATTTACTTAGCAATTTGGGGACATGATAAATGACATCAAACATGTGTTTCTATTTTAACTGAATTGTGAGCCCATTTCTTTGCTTGAAATTTAGGGTTTCTGAGGGGATGGTCTCTACCTCAGGCCACTAACCCCCTACTAGGTCAGCATATGCACATAATTATGGTACATGTAATATAAGAATTTATAATGATATATGTTTAAAGGGATCGTTTAACAATGTTAAATCTGAGATACACAGCCCTATGTGTTATCAGTGTCTGTGATATGGTGTAATATTGAAGCCCTAAAAAAATTGCGCTTCAAAATATCAAGAAGTGCCTCAAAAAAGTAAAAATCTTGGAGTGACCGGTTTTACCGTACTCGTTTTCCCCAATAGACTGTAGTGTTATGAAAACCGTCAGGCGAACGTTTTTCAAAATTCGTAATTCCAATCATAAATATCTTGATAATCAGACAGGCGATCAGCTTGTAAAAGTCATGGGGTTCCTGACTGACCTAAAGGTTTATAATTATCATTGCATCATGAGCTAAATCCAGAATTTTATTTCAGAATCTGAGACAAAGTTACCGGATCCCTTTAAGCTGTTGATTTTAAAAAGGACAGCATTACTTCTTATTCATTTACTTTTACCCTTTAAAAATCTGCAGTAATTTATTTCATACTTTCTTATGATCTCTTTATCTTTACTATAAACTATAATGCCATTTTCACTGTTTTGTTCTCCCTATATTTCATATTTGATGATCTTCCTTATATGCTTTACCAAATTTTGTTGATTCCAGCCCTCCTCGCCAGGAGCCAATGCATACCTGAAGGATACCTGAAGCTAACATTTCTTTCTTTGAAATGTTTTTCCAGATTCTCTTCTAGATTTTATTCAATAATTGAGGAGAAAAAGTCTTTTCACTTTCACAAAATATTCTCTAACAGGTCATTATCTCATATTAAAATTAAAATTATCCAGTTTCCATCGTCCACTTTCTTATACAGAGGATCTGTTGCAGGTACATGTCAGCGGAGGTCAGCAGACCTTTGATCTGTTTGTTGTTTTTGTTTGCTTGTGTTTGGTTGTTTCTGACTGGATGTTTTGTACAATTATTCAATCAGTGCTTAAAGCCTGTCTGGACTAGTTTGGCCAGGAGGGATTAGACCTCCCTGCTGGTCACTGGCCTCATCAAATCAGCTCTCAATTAACATAAGAAAAAGGAGACAATTGGGGATCAACGGTCACCACTTAGGCATTGTTGGCTATAGAGGACGCAAGTATCTACAAGTAGTGCAGACAGGCTTTATTGCAAGTCTTCCACCAACTCCTCTAATTATCATCTTCTTGCTTTATGTTCTCCTGCAGATCTTCTTCCGTCCTGGAGCCCTCGTGCAGATAGAAGACAAGAGAGACAGACAGCTGTCAGATACGATCACAAGATTCCAAGCCCATTGTCGCGGTTACCTAGCTAGAGAGAATCTCAAACAGCTCAAGGTGAGTGCATGATGACATTGATAATCGATAGATTGATTGATAGGTTGATTGGTTGATTGATTTATTGATTGAATGATTGATGGATTGATCAATTGATTGAGTGATTGATTGATGGAATGATTGATTGATTGGTTGATTAAATGATCGATTGAATTATTGATTGATTGAATGTTTGATTGATTGATTGAATGATTGATTGATCAATTGAATGATTGATTGATTGATTGATTGATTGGTTGACTAAATGATCGATTGAATGATTGATTGAATGGTTGATTGATTGATCGATTGAATAATTGATCGATTGAATGATTGATTGATTGATTGATTGAATGATTGATTGATTGAATGAATGTTTGATTGATTGATTGATTGATCGATTGATTGAATGATTGATTGATCGATTGAATGATTGATCGATTGAATGATTGATTGATTGATTGATTGATTGAATGATTGATTGATTGATTGAATGGTTAATTAATTGATTGATTGGTTGATTGGTATTTGTTTTGCTTGCTTGCTTGTAAGATTAATTGATTGATAAATTGATTGATTTGTTTAAATATTATACTGTTAGATTTATTTATTGATTTATATATTCTTACAAATAAAGGAATGTACATGTGCTCTTTTTCTTGATATTGATAAATGAATTGTGATGTGTATCTGTATGATGGTAACAAAGTTAGGTTTGAAATTCTGTGGTTAATATTTCACAGGTAATCTGAAATAATAGCCAGTTTACAAGGCAAGATGTCTTTGTTTATTTTCTTAGCTCTTAGTCTATACGGTGCCAAATATTTGTAATGCTAGATGCACTCATGGCCATCTCAGTCTACAAGGGAATACTGAAAAAGGACAGTGTCACATTTCCTTTGTCATATATATTAACCTGGATAGATGTTCCTCTATAACAAGGCCAACCACCCCCCCCCCCCCCCCCTCAAAAAAAAATTGTTTCACTGGCCACTATAATTAGGGAGGTCACAGGTATCCCTAGATAAAAATCTGTAATGTCTGGGATTATATAATTCTGATGAATCATAACAGCGGTCCATCTAATTTTAGCTACAGTGTGGTGCTAGACACATATTATTACACCTTTGTGTGATTATAGACAACGCTAACAATGCTCAAATGTCTTTCAACTGAAAATGTCATGTATTTACCGGAAACTGTCCATAACAGAATCAAATTAAATAGATAATGCAATTTTAAAAGACAGGGATTTAAACTAATCTTTAATCTTTGCAAAAGACTTACTAGTAGATTGATTTGTTTGGAACATAATGATCACATTGTATTATGGGCATATTATGTTATCCTTGAAATGCAAAATCAATTTAAATGAAAAGCAATAGTTTAGTAGCGCTAATTTAATCCGTATTTTTTAACAGGATAATCAATTTACACAAATTATCAGCATCTAACTGCTTTGTTTTCCCACTGGAAAAATATTGTCATACTGTAACACTGTACATGTATTTAGTACTGTACGTGTACTACAAGCCACTAGAGTTGCAGAGTTGCCATAATCATAAGAGAATATCAGAGATGAGGTGTGTTTTCCATTCCTGCTTTGCAAGGAATTACATTTGCATTGCAAGTGATAGCAGAGCTTTATCAGACTGCACAAACCGTGCTGTACTAGAACCTGTTGTCATGAAGCTCACATGTAAATATGATGTGTAGTAATTCACCAGATAACCAGGGATTTTATCACCATTTTGAAGTGCCTACAAGTTAAGTATTTGGCAGCAAGCCAGCTAGTGCATATCACAAGGAAGTCTGTTATTTGTGTATATTGTGTATAGATGCAACTCCTATTTGTAAGCGGAATGATTTAGACTTTTCGAGATGGATCTTAATCAAAACTAAATTGCACAATGAGATTTTAGTTTTGTAGGAATTTGTAATACAGGGTCAAGTCTTACCATCAGTTGAAAAATGATATTTAAATTTAAAATAATGAAAATTAGAAATTGTCTTAAGAACTATGTAGGTAGGTATGGTTAGGAAAATATTTTACCCACACTCTGTAATCAGTGGGGCATACCTTTTCTTCTTACTTTTTGTTTTATTTTCTAAAAGATTTCAAGTTCAATATCAATTTAGTTCCACAACATGAATAAAATTCACAAACATACATTTAGAGAAGCCTTTAAAGACAAACTAGAAATATTTTATTTTTTGTGAAGAAGCAATAAAAAGAAACATTGAGACATAGAAAAACTTCAAATTTCATGTAACCAAACAAATAATTATAAAATCAACTACTTCTACTCCATGAAAGAAGAAAATTAAAGAGAACAAAAAAGACAAAGAAAGGCAATAAAGAATTAATAATAAGTTTACAATCTTAATAAATACATTTTTCTCCCACCAGATCCAGAAGCTGGCAATAACTTGCATCCAGCGGAATATACGCAAGTTCCTAGCCGTGAAGAATTGGCCGTGGTGGCGTCTGGTGACAAAAGTACTACCCCTACTAGATGTCCACCGAACAGAAGAAGAACTCAAGATGAAAGATGTAAGATATTAAACGAGTGGCATAGCAAGAAATTGATAGGCATGAGAAGGAAGGAAGGAAGAAGGGAAGGAGAGAATAAGGGACGGGAGGAGGTTTGGAGGGAGGAAGGGATGGAGGAGGGAGGAAAGGATGGAGAAGGGTGGGTGGGTGGGAGGAAGGAAGGAGGGGGCAGGAGGAGAGGGAAGAAAAGGAGAAAGGAAAGTTTTAAGAAATATTCATTTTTCATTGAAATATGAAAAGAGAAGTTTTAACCTAGTTTGGTTTATACACTGTATGAACTACAGGCTGTTGATGGCAGTTGGCAGGAGATTTGCAATTGCTGGGAGATTGAATATTTATTCCCCATATTGGTGATTTCGATTACCATGAACGTTCTCATGTTTTATTGTTTGGAAGTGAAACTGGATGCCTTGGACTTGCAGTAAATCTATGTAAATCATTCACTCCTTTTGCTACCCCCCTCCCTCATTTGATTGTTTATTCTATTATGATTTTTTTCTTCTCCCCCACCCCCCCCCCATTTCTATCTATCTTTCTCACTCCCTTATATCTATTTCTTTCTTGCTCTCTCTCTTCTTTTATCAGTTGGAGTTAGAGCAGCTGAGATCCAAAGTGGCCAAGATGGAAACCGAAAGGAATACACTCAAACAGAATGTGGACAAACTAGATTCAAGGGTAAGTTCGCAAAATCGCAATGAAAGATTTACTTTGCTGTCTTTGAATCTATGTTAAGGGCCAGACATAAATTAGCTCTGTGAGTAATGCCCTTTTTGCCCTCTCAGCAGACAATATGTAATCCCACTATTCCAAGGCTTGACATCACAATGTAGCTGCCTACCATTACGTTTTTCCAGGAATTATTCTGTTTTTTCCTCAAAATTACGGTAGTACGTTTTTTTTTCATAAAATATTTTGTTTGGTTGCACAAGTTCGGCAGCTCTGCAATAATACCCCAAGTCACACGAGCAAGACCGACACCAGACCAACATCATGGTTAACAAATATAGATTTCTTTCATAAAAAGCTTTTTTTTAACACGAGAAAGATAAAGAATTCCAAACAATGCTTCTAAATTGGCTGATTTCATTTGTAGAGAGCCAGGCAGGCACTAAACTTCAATACTTTAAACAGAGCAAATTCCTTTCTGGTCTGATGCTGAATAGATGATTAGGTTTTCATAACTTGAAGTACCTTTCCATTATCAACAACTCATTGTATTGGAATGTTATAACCATGCACTTGATAAAGGAAAACATAGCCATCAATGTGTTTGTGCCATTATGTGATATATACAAAGGTTTAATTTGCAAGAAGGTCACGTCATTGTTAAAATGAATCTGCATTTGCAAACATACTGATAATATCCTGTGTTATGCGAAAACAACAACTCTTGAACATGCAATAACGCAACAATATTTGTCCCCTGAAATATCTGCTTATACAGCATTATGTGTTCTATATGTAAATCAGGTAACAGAGATGTCAGCTGACTTATCTGAGGAGCATACAGCAGCTACCCACGCCTCTGAGCTGCTGGAGGGCGAGACAGCGGAGAGGTTGAGATTAGAAAAGGAACTTAAAGAAATCCGAGTAAGATGTAAACTGATTTATGTGATGCAGTCTACTAGGGGGGGGGGGGGGGGGGGAGGCGGATTTATCTATTCTGTTATGCATTTGTGGGTGTGGGTGTGGGTGTGGGTGTGATCTATTTTATGCTTTCACAACCAATGAAGAGAATGATGTAAACATGATTGAAGTGTGCAATTTGTTTAAGAAAAAGAACTGAGGATGCAACCGAAGTGAAGTGAACAATTTTACTGTGACTGAGAGAGAAAGAGAGAGAAAGAGAAGGAGGGAGAAGGATTATGGAGATAAAGCGAATGAGGGCGGGCAGAGATATGAAAGAGATACATGTATATGCATTAAATATCTATAAGTACCAGCTATTTTTATAAAGAAAAATTGTGAACTATGGACAAGGGACAGAGAGAAGGGGAGAGGGAAGGGGAGAGGGAAGGGGAGAGGGAAGGGGAGAGGGAGGGGGGGGGGGGGGGAGGGGGGAAAAAGCATATATTTGAGAGGAATAGACAGATATGTAAGTAGCGCTTTTTTGTCAATGGATATTAAGATGGAGGAGGAGGAGGAGTGGGATGAGAGCTGAAGTAACAGAAAGGGATGACTATTTATCGTCACATTTTCTTTGTAATAGAAATCTTTGAAGATATACTTGAGTTCTGGTAATGATAGGAAACGAGTTCTCACAGAATCCAACAGAACTTACACAGAATGTTCAAGATTACAAATAAATGACATGCGCCAAACGATTTTGGTAGTAAATGTATAGGGGCTGAGTAATAAGCATAGAAAAATAAGGAAATCAAGGTAGGTCTGACACCATGTGCTTAACACAGGTCACTGTGTGCAAATGAGAGTTGTGGTTTTTATTAAAGGTAAAGACCAGTATTGGAAACGCCCCAATTTCAAAAAATGAAATGGAAGCTCTTATTACCAATCATGTGAAAGAATATGTTTTTAATATTACATGATGATAAAAATCTTGACGGGAAACCGCCTACTAATTGATATATTTGGTAAATTAGTGTATCTCTCGCCTGTTGAGAGATATGAAATGCACGTGTCGTGCATGTGTGTGTAGTCCCATATACATATTTCTGTGTACAGTGCTTCTAACTTTATGAAGACTTGGCCAAATTTCTTATCATTTTGATGATTCCAGAACCTTGCAGTACATCTATGCTAGATGATCAACCTTTTCTGATCGATTTCACAACGTGTCTTTCACAATGCAATCACATGACCATAACTGGTCTTCAGCTTTAAAGATGATTTCCAGCAAGTTTTTGTGAGGTTGTTTTTATTTTACTGGTTCCAACACCCAATCTACTGCAGGATAGTTCACTCGACGTACGATGCCCATACTAGAGCTCAAGATAAGCTTTAAGCAACCTGCTAGATATAATCCTTGAACTTGAATACATGATTATCCGATATAATGTAGCGTGAGATATTTGATCATTTTGTTTCTTTTCTTTTGCTGTAGTCTAACTACAATACTCTTCAGAGGAAGTCAGAGAAGATGGAGATGGAACTAATGGAACATCGTATGGTCAGATCATCTATCATTGAAGCAGACATGAGCAGTGATGATGAAGCTGGTATGTATCTTAGTATCTTTCCTTGTCTCGTCCCTCCCCCTTCTCTCTCTCTCCATCTGTCTCTCTCTCTCTCACCATTTGTTCTCTCCCTCCTCTCTCTCTCTCTCTCTCTCTCTCTCTCTCTCTCTCTCTCTCTCTCTCTCTCTCTCTCTTTTGTTACCCTCTCACTCTCTCTTCCTTTCTCTCTGTTTATCTCCACCATCTGTCTATTTGCATTATCTTTATGTCTCTACATATTCTTTTTCTTGTTTGTCGTCTCCTTCTTCTTCTTCTTCTTCTTCTTCTTCTTCTTCTTCTTCTTCTTCTTCTTCTTCTTCTTCTTCTTCTTCTTCTTCTTCTTCTTCTTCTTCTCCTTCTTCTTCTCCTCCTTCTTCTCCTTCCTCCTTCTTCTTCTTCTCCTTCTCCTTCTTCTTCTCCTCCTTCTTCTCCTTCCTCCTTCTTCTTCTTCTCCTTCTTCTCTTTCTCCTTCTTCTCTTTCTCCTTCTTTTCCTCCTCCTCCTTCTTCTTCTTCTTCTTCTTCTTCTTCTTCTTCTTCTCCTTCTCCTTCTTCTTCTTCTTCTTCTTCTCCTCCTCTTCCTCCTCCTCCTCTTCCTCCTCCTCCTTCTCCTCCTCCTCCTCCTTCTTCTTCTCCTCCTTCTTCTCCTCCTTCCTCCTTCTTCTTCTCCTTCTTCTCTTTCTCCTTCTTCTCTTTCTCCTTCTTTTCCTCCTCCTCCTCCTTCTTCTTCTTCTTCTTCTTCTTCTTCTTCTTCTTCTTCTTCTTCTTCTTCTTCTTCTTCTTCTTTTCTTTTCTTCTTCTTCTTCTTCTTCTTTTCTTTTTCTTCTTCTTCTTCTTTAAATTTTTTATTTTGTTATACATGTATGTTCCATTCAATACACAAATCTTGTGTATTTCAATATGGTAGCTGATATGATGCTCTAAGTAACAGTTTTATTTTAATTTCATAATTATCTGCCAATACAAACCAGAAGTATTATGTTCATGAGGAAGGAAATTATAGCATGATGATATGAGTAGTGGAGGGGAAAATATACATGTATATGATAAGAGTAGGGATGATAATATGATTATGTACAGGAAATGTGCAGTAACGCCTGGCTGGAATGCTCCCCAGGGAGTGGAGATTGTTCACACAGTGTGTACGGTCAAGCACTGATGTAATATTATATCTGTAAAGCGTTTAGAGACATTGTATCGAGCGCTATATTAAAGCAGAATATTATTATTGATGTATATACACTGTATCGTGTTATAGAATATACTGTACATGTATAAGCAAGTGAAGATGCACGGTGTACATAAAGGTAAAGGAATGATTTTGGAATCAAGTTTAATTAGAAGCAATGAAGGAGCACATGCAGCATGATAAAGAAGTATACATGGGTTGGAGAAGAAACATGTCTTATCCATCATCTTTGGGTGATAGTAATGGATTTTTCATCTTGGGCCAGCGGAGGAAAGATGCAAGATTACCCCGGCAGACTTTCCTTGGAAAAATAATGATGCAAAATAAGATGCAAAATTCATTATGCGGGTTGGTGGAGATGGGTGTTACAGGTGTTTGCGTCCTGCAGTAAAGATTAGAGTCATGATCTGATGTCTATTGTAGGAGAGCTAGGGTGCGAAACATTGCAGCTCATACTTCATGAAGCATCAAATGTCATGTTGGATTATGGAAATGATCTGCGTGTAAATGTTGAGTTTCTTCATGTAATGCCTCATCATTTGTTGGTGAAGTTGGGTGATTGCTTTAATTTACAATTTTTGGTGGAAAATTGATGAAGAATGGAACACTACGGAGGTCAGACGTACTGTCGGTATCGAGCAAACTGTAAGCACACAGTGTTTATTTTCATCCAAAAGTGATATTTTCACAGTGAAGGATATCGCTGTAATGTTTCATCTTTTAAATACAAGAGAATAACAGTGTCTGAATAATTTTGTGTGGATATGTTTATAAATAGATAAATATGATAGCGTATGTACATTGTACATGTATGTGTAGACCTATAAGTCAGCCATTTTCTAATTTTCAATTTGGGTGATTGTCTAAATTCACATGTATCTTTGTCAGGTAGTTACTTAAAAATGCATGGTATTTGAGGAACTAATTCCTCCTGAAAGGAACTCTCAACAAAAATCAACATCTTGTATCCTTCTTTTCTAAAAACAAAACGCTGAACAAAGAACTGTTTTATCAGATTCCCATTTAGCACCTGCGCGGAGAGGAGCAAAGTTGATAACATTTCTTGTTACCTTTGTAGTGACTTGAACCCTTGTCCTCTGCACCTCCAGCCAAGTGATCAAACCACACGACTATGACCGCTTGTGAAGGGTTCTCAAGACAAATCAGCCCTGTCTTCATATGCTCGAGTTTGCCAGATACCGGTAACCTGTTATTTTCAGACTCAGGATATTATCCCGAAGCTCGAAATTGTGCCTTCACCAGACCGATACGCTCATCACAAACTAGCTCGGACTAGCAGAATATTTTGGAAACAGGACAAAAATTTCTCAGGATATTTTCTCGACCAAAAATCTCCCTAATTGCAACTGCGAGCTGATGAAAACACAAATTAACTGGTTAATTTGCAATCAGGATTGTTGAAATAGCGGGTTATTTGGCAAACTCGAGCTGATGAAAACAGGCCTGTTGTGGAGGTCTGTTAAGCACTCAATCAACTTTGTTGTGACTCAAATGACTTAGCTACTTGCTCATTATCAATGTTTTATTCATGATTACTGTTTATTTATTTTCTCTTGTTGTAGACTCAATGTTTAGACTGAAATACATGCAGCTGAGGAAAGAGATGGAGCTGGGCAAGAAACGGCTTCAGCAGGAACACGAAGAAGAGAAGGAGAAACTCCTCTCCAACAGAAAATCAGTCGAAAAGAAGGTAAATACACCCATCAAGTACTGAGCCTGAGAATGCTTAAATTAAGTCCTAGTATAACCACTTTTAAAATGCAGAATGCTATCTATGAAGTAATATAGATGGATGTGTAGATGACATGCCAGTGCGGCATACCAAGCTGCAGATTTATCATTTCAGTATCCAACCATATAACTAGATTGCATGGAAAGTTCATGAGTTTGTGAACAGAATTTATATCAAATATAGTTTGTCTTGCTTGTATTTTAGTTCATTTTTCATCCTATTGAAAGTAAAAATTAACATTTCATATTGTTTTATTATCCCCTTCCCATCCTCTCCCTATCCCTCTCTCTCTCTCTCTCTCTCTCTCTCTCTCTCCCTCTCCCTCCCCCTGTCTTCTTTCCTCTTTCGTCTCTATATCTTCCTTTATCTCTTTAGTTCGTAGAGGCATCGGAGGAGGCTGAGGAGTTCAAGCGCCAGCTGAATAACTTCAAGAGACGATCTCAGAAGATGGCCGAAGAATCTCAGGACATGAAACTACACCTTGAATCACAACAGACCAGGAACTCAGACCTGGAGAAGAAGCAGAGAAAGTAAGCATTGATTTGATTTGATTTATTTATTTCTGTTTGATTTTCTTTTTCTTTTGCAGTTTTACAAATATACAACAAACAAATAATTGCAAATTTACACATCACAAAAGAGTATACCGGGTATGTAGAATAAAGTAAGGCTGGCTGTAACTAATCGAAAACATCAAACAGGAGGGTTGAAAAAGTAAGCAAAGCTTGATAGCATGACTACTCTTAATGGATACATTCTCCTACCGGTATACAGATACAGATTTTCATATTGTGCTGAATAATCTCGAGTTTATGTTTTCATGAAAAATCCAGATCTAAAAAAAGAAACAGAAAAATTCACATATAAATAATATCCTTTCTTTAAATATCTCTAGCTTTGAAGCATTAACATTTTTTTTGTTTTTTGTATGGGGGGGGGGGCCTTGAGCATTTGATTGGAAGTGGAATCTGCCACCTTAAACCTTTTAGTATCCTTTTTATTCATTTGTATTCACTTTATTCATTTTTATCCTTTTCTTCAATGTTTTCATTTCAATCTTCTCCTTATAGGTTTGATGCCGAACTAGCAAAGGTCCATCAAGATCTCCAGCAGGAGAAGACGACCAAGGATCGGCTCCAAAGGGAGAAGGGCAAGCTAGAAGGAGAGAATTTCATCATTTCACAACAGCTCGAGGTCAGTCAAGCTAAAAGTCATCTGCATTTCTCCGAAATTGAATTGGATTGAATTTATACACCACTTTTATAAAAACATACAAAGGATAAAAATACAATAAAATATTTCTTGCGAACATAGATAAGCCAATAAAATGGAAAATACACTAAAGGAAATTACGAAGTGGTTGGATCATCAAAAAAGTTACAGAAAAATATAGGTAGATGATCCTGAAAATTTACACAAAAAAATGAATTGCTTTTTAAAAGAAACAGAGAAATTCAGAATATTATAGGTTTTTAAGTAGTCGATGGGTTGTTTGGGGATGACAATATTTATATCTCACCCCTTATTTAGTTGGAAACTTTTTTTTTATTTTGGTGCATTTAATGTTTTCCTCCGACACTAGCCCAAGTTATCTAAAGCTTTGTATTTAAGTGGTCAAAAATTACTCTAAGTGTATTGTACATTTCATTCCATTTGTGCATAAATTTGCAAGTAATGTGAATAATATTTAATTTTCATCAACCTAAATCCTAATTTAACATAGGAAATATAGTCATGTAATATTCCATTGTTGATTTTCTTGATACATTTTCAAGAATTATTCCCTTATTCTATTAATTACTAACAATATTAGACTTTTTCTTTCAAAAGAATAATTCAGTTTGTATGTTTTTTTGTTTTTTTTATATGCCAAAAGGTTCAATACTATCATCATATAAGAAACCTCTGTAATGACGAGGAATGGAAGATTGACAATCACCTTGTTTCTGGCAAATTATTTCATATTATGGTCTCAGACCATCGTTAGACATACTGTATGAAAGACCTTGCCCTAAGCCCAGTCAGGCATGATACCTGTCGTGTGCAGTAGCCCATAGCAAGCAATGACCTAGTATCAAACCAAATTACTCTTGCTGTCACTCACAATTGTGCTAGATTAAGAAGCCATAAATCCTATGAATAGCCCACATGGGGCAAGAAGGACAGCTTATTTGTTTTCATCACTGTACATCCTATTAATATCCCATGAGGCAACAAAGGGAATAAGTTCAGACTGTTTGTTTATATATGAGAGATAGTAAGAACACCTGTTGTTTCCATCCAAAATGAAAGAATTTATATTATTATTATTATTTTTTTTTTGTGCAAAAACAAAGAAAATCATTGAATCCATAACAAGAGTACATTTGGAAAAGAGTCACATGGATGCTGGGAAAAGAAAAAGATTAACTAAACAACTGTAACCCGAAGGTCTTCTTTTCCAATCCATGTGACTTAACAGAAATGGTAATAATATAAAAAGACTGTAAACTTAAAAAGGGGTAGTTGTTAGCTTAGTTTTAGAGGTTATACAATTTCAATTGCATTCTTTATTGCAGGATATGAAGTCGGAGGTGAAAGTGACGGAGGTCAAGATAGACACGCTGAAGAGTGAAATGGAAGATCTCTCCTCCCACGGTAGCACAGAGGTGAAGGAGGTGGCTGGCCTCAAGAGAGCCAAGAGAGATCTAGAGACTAAGCTCCAGGACCAGGAGGAGGAGCTAGATGATCAAGCGGGACAGATCCAACAACTAGAACAGGTGAGGAACCTTGTACTTGTAATGCTATTGTCATGTTCGGGGTTGTGTTAGTAACAAATGAAAAATCACTCAAGGAGGTGGCTGGTTTAAAGAGAGCCAAGAGAGACCTGGAGACAAAGCTCCAGGACTAAGATGAGGAGCTGGATTATAAGGTAGGACAGATCCAACAACTAGAACAGGTGGGGAACCTTTACTTGTAATGCTATTTTCATGTTTGGGAGTTTGTTAGTGTAATGAAAGATCACTCAAGGAGGTTGCTGGTTTAAAGAGAGCCAAGAGAAACCTTGAGACAAAGCTCAGACAAAGCTCAGACAAAGCTCCAGGACCAAGAGAAGGAGGTACATGTAGGACACTGTATTAAAGTTTACCCACATATAAATGGGATGTCGGCGATCTTGTACTTGTGGCGGTTTCATGAAACGATGTCATGCAGATTAAGCTCCAAGATCAAGAGGAGGAGATGGGTGAACAAACCAGACAGATCTATTAAGTAGAACAGTACTGGGAAGATCCTCGTAGTTACGTACATGTATGTGGAATCCACCTGCCAGAAATCATGCAGTAATTGCAGATATGTCAGGAAAATTTCAGTCAAGCTCTCTTGTCTTCTATTTAATGTACTTTTTAATTTTGTAAACTGTGTTGCCTGTACTTCATTTTTCTTTTAGTTTACAAATAACGGATAATATACAGCACTTGTTCATGTACAGTGTGCATGTACATCTGTATGGTTTATACATACAGAACTCTTTTTTTTTTTTTACTACTTGTTAAGGCCTTGATCATCATTTTGTTTTGAAAAGTCTTAGGATGTCTCAAGCACTTTGTTTTGATTAGCGTTTCACTTCTCTTGCTCTTTGAGGAAGTGAGACTGGTGCAGTAATTAAACTGTCTATTTGACATGTTTTAATTTATTTGTTATGAGTGTATTCAATCATTTATTCAGTGAGTGGGCATTTGTAAAGCTTATTCAAGTGTGCATTTATTCACATGTCTGCACAAGTGCATGCAAGTAAACATGTTTATGAGTTTAAATCAAGAATTTAAGAAAAAATAGAGTATTGTTTGTATTGTTCACTTCAATGAATGCTGTAGGGCATTTCGAGGATAGGAGGGTCGAGCTGAAAAATTAGCTAAAATGAAAGCATTTTAAGTCTTGATATTAATGGAGTTTGTTGATAAAATTGTCAGAGCGGGTCGTGCAAAATCCCAAATGGGTTTTATACATAAACCGCTACTTAATCATCAAACATTTCTCACATATCTTTACTGTCAAAAGTGACATTCACTGTGGGAATGTACAGACAATTACAGTGTGTATCCGGCTTGCTGTTTGTACCACTTATAAAAGCCAAGTTCACACGAGAGTCCATAAACTTAAAGTTTAGCTGGTGGTGTTAAGCTTCCAGGGTATCTTGTAGACAAAGACCGAACAGAAGCATTTGGGGTTTTAGCATGAAGTTTAAACCCGAGTGATCTGACAGCATGAGAACTATTGAATTGAATTGAATTTATTTCCACATTTGCATTAAAAATACAGAAACACAGTTATAAACAAAAGTAACAGTATAAAAATAAACAAACATTCAAATACATGCAAATTAAGAAGATTAAAGGCAAATTTATAAGACTTGAAAAGCATACAATGTAAATGTGGCGGGATCAAAAAAGGTTTGTGTTAACTGTAAAACTTTTGTCCATGATCCCATACTGTTTGGAAGCATTTATACAAGTCTAAAGACAACATAATGAGCCACAGGGGGTCCTCAATTGAAGTTATGTGCTTTGCAAATCCATTTCACATTGAGATTTTGCCATGCTAATGTTACAACAGTCGCTGGCTTTGCTTGTAGTTTAAATATTGAACACTTGTTGTTTCGATCCCCTGTGAACTCACATTGTTGTCAGCTCATGTAGGTTGTTCTTTGAAACCTTGCGGTTTTGCCACCTTAAAGGTTTAAACTGTCATGGTCCCATGCAAACATGGCTCCTTTGAACCAATGCTCAAGAGTCCATGACCTGGCCGCAGGGGGACTTGGATGGCTGACCTTCTTATTTCAATAAAAATATGAAAATAAAAATCACTGATCTATGGAGCTGTAGTTCATATCAACAACCATGCCAACACAACAAGGCCATGAGGCCCAATCATCCACAACCTCATTATTCAAAAGTTATGAGCGCTGGAACATAAGAGAAATATGTATTTTGGGCTAGTGAATAGGTGACGTTTTTTCTCTCTTTGAAAAAGCCCCCCAAGCTAATTACATATCAGATACTGTCCATATAAATATACATGTATATCCTCGTACATGTACACTGCAGTTAGTCTGTTGGAGTTGTCGCATGCTGTTTGGTTGTACAACGTATTTTGGATGGTATATTTGGAGGATATCAAGAATTTTTCAGCATTTTGGAAGTTGAGTGGAAGTTGGATTGTATCTCTTTCTGTGGATATTTAGCATATAATGAAGGATAAAAGCATGGGTCGAGATAATAACTACGAAGATCTGCGCAAAGTAAGAATTTCAATTTTTTTTTTTTTTAATTTTTTTTTTAGTGGAATACCTGTACATGTACAGAAGGTAGAATTAGCATGTATATGTAACTCCACCTCGTGTGTCCACCTCGTGTGTTTACCTCATATGTTTACCAAATGTTTGTTTGAATCATTGAAGTGAAGTTCATCTTTCTCACCTGTAAGACATCTTTTTGCTAGGTTACTTTAAGTTTTGTTTCCTTTGTTAGGCCAAGTTTTGAGTCTTTCATCCAGGTTGCTGGTATTTAATTTAGGAAAGAGAGAGGGTTCCTTATTCACTTTGGATAAGGCTCATTAAGTGATCACAGTTACCAATCCAAGTATTCTGTATTTGAAATGTCAACTACTTACATGTACAGTACATTGAAATTTCACTCCTAAAGATTTAAGCAGATTTGGTGTCTGTGTGTGTGTACCGGTATGTGTCTCACAAAAGACATAAAGTGCATGGTGTCCTAAAGAGAATAATTTTTTTTATCAAGTATTTATCCCACTTTTTAATATTAACATTCAAACAGTATTTCCTAGAATAAGAATTCTAAAAGTAAGGCATGCGAGGTATGGCATAATTGCATTGTTGTATGATTTCTTTCTTTCTTTCAAATTGCATCCGGTATTCATCATAAATCATAGAAGTCCAAAGGATTTATTTGGTGGGAAGTCGAGTATAATATTCTCATACAAAAAAAATAATTGAAACTTTAATGTACATGTACCCTCGGTACATCTCTCTCCCTCCCTCTCTCTATTGTAGCCAATCTTGTGAAAATACAATACTTTGGCAAGCTATATGTGTGTCCTTGGATAGAAGGATATGTAAGAGTATCTAGCCTTATACATACAGATAATGCCAATCGTTAATGAAACCAAGGATTATTTGATAAAAGAATTCAGTTGACTAAATTCCATTCCAAATATCATTTAGAGATGATAGGCACACTTTTTTTCCCTCTTTGATTGTGATGCATCTGGTGGAATTGGTTCATGAAACTCTTTAAACCTGGACATCATTTAAAGTTGATAAATATGGTATGCTTTTTGCAAAAATTATTCACATATTATAATACATCTTAGAAAACTCTTTTTGAAATCTTTTTGATTGTTTTGTTTTCTTTGATTTGGAAACAAAACAGGAAGATGACATACATGTACATGGATTAGTAAATCTGACAGTATTATTATCTTTTCTACTAAAGTGTCAGTATAATTGTAACTTGTTACACAGTGGTGTTGTTGACATGATACATAAATGACAAGCCATAAAGAACCGTTAATGTGGAGCACATCCGACAGATCTCATTCATAAATTGCTCTAAATAGTCTGTGGTTTCCCTAAGTAAATAAACATTCTTTAAATTGCAGTGAGTCATAACTTGGTAAGGTAAAATTTAGTCACTGTTTTTGGTTACTTGCCTTATATTATCATATCCATGGAAACCATTTAGAAAACCCTTTGTCAGTAAACTAGGAAGTATGAATATAAACTACCGTATTAACATCAAGAAATAAGGAAGTCGTTTAAGGAAAGACTTCCCTTTTTGTATTGCATTATGTATATAAAGTCATAGCAGACATTGATGTAATATAAGTTTGTCCGTTGTTTCTTTGCTGGTAGTAATCTTATTCTTCTGGTTGACTTCATATCTTGACGTGCGTGTGATTGATTGTGTTGCATTTGACAAAGGATCTTCAGTGCTTTCAAGGTAATGTTAGGCTTTGTGAGGAAAGATAATTTGTATGCACTGAACTTGAAGAAAAGCAAATAAAGCAATTTGTTTTGCTGTTATAAACCCATGGAAGATCATTTAGCTATTATGGTAACAGTTACACAATTGGTAGCTTTTGCTAGGTGACGTGCAGGCAGTCTCAAGAAGAAAGTAAGTTTCTATCGATTCAGTTACTTTGCCGGTTCATGCGTCTAATAATTGTCACAAATTTGACTTACATTGTATGTTTTAAGTTAGACAATGTTAATCCACATGTAGATTCATATTTTGTATTGTTGTTTTAAAGGGTATTGACTAACTGGCAGAGTTTTGTTAGTTCATAAACATGTATAAAGATATGATTCTTTATCAAATTGAGTGATTCTTCTTAAAATTGTTTTATATCCAGTATATAACCATATAATTAGCCACTGTATTTTATATAGGACACTTCTCTAAGCTGATCTGTTTGATGAATCTATAACGATGTATAACAGTGCCTTGTTTATAATAAAAAAAATGTGGCCTTGATCAGGTTTGCAGTCCTTATGATTATAGGTCACAGCCTCAACTTAAAATTCAATGTGTATATACTATATTATTATAAAAAAATAAGGGTATTTGTAAATGAGTTTCCAATGGGCTTCAAGGGTGTCACGTGCCACTCAACAATTTATTATTATCACACAAGCGTGCACTGCAATATAACAACTTTTTTGTTGTGTGGTAAAACGCAAACAAAAGTGAATAGGACTGCGCACCTCTTTCCTATGTGTACCCATTGTTTGCAATATTTGTATTGTAATATCTTTATTCACCTTGGCCGAAAAACCCGGACCGCCACATTGTTTGGAATTTATTATACATGTACACTGTACGTGTACTCTGTACTCGTTCAAAGCCAGTAAAGGGTTACTGATCATAGAGGGTAAACAGGCTGAATTTTGAAGATTTTGTGGTAATATCTCCTCCCCATAGTGGTCTTTGATTCCATGTATTATTGGGTTTCGATGATACATGATGATTATTCAGTAATGTTCTGCTTTGCCAAACCTTAGAAATTGTTGCCTGCTTTAGGTTACCCACTTCGTTGAATTAGCACTGAAGTTTTATCCTCTATACATGTACCAGAATTTTTAAGTGCTGCAAGTCTATTAAAGGAATACCCAAAACTGTTCAGAATCAGATATTTGTTGTCATCTTACTCATTTACTGACTTCACAGTTTCTACATTGTGAGTATGATACCATTAGCAATATTGTGTGAATGCTTTCTTTTACCTTTGAATTTTCTGATCCTTTTCATATCTTGAAGTCATTTTAATCTTTGTGTGGATTAGTCATCAGATCAGTTTATTCTCATTTTGGGGTTTATCTACATGCATGGAGTATATTGGACATGGTTCGAGAGAAATGCTTTTATTTTTAGCAGACCATTCATCATAATATTCTTTGCGGAGATACAGGATACTAGTATTCACATTAAAATACATGTACATAATTTGGATGCATTTATTTAACACCTACAAAAGTGTGACTTGATACAGATATGTATGTAAATGATAGTGTGGTACTTACACTACTACCAGTAACAAAAAAATGATGTGCGGTCAAGGCATTGTACAGAGTGATAGAAGGCCATATGAATATTGAACAATACAAGTGATTCTAGCATACTTTCAAAGGTACTGAACATGTATAGATTGTTCTTAGTTTTTTCTTCTGAATTGAGTCACTTTGTGAGACATTGTGTTGGATTATAACACTGACAAGTAAGTATGATCTACAGTATTTATTAAAAGAGCACCTAAGTATATGACAATGATATTAGAATGGATTGATCTACTGGTAGTTGTTATCAATAAGATACAGTTTGGTTCCCTATGTTTCATTTACTAATTGGTTTTATGTACGTCATTTCTTGGTTGTTGTTTTTTTCTCGGATCAAACTGAGGTTGGTGATGTTGTTAAAGGAAATAAATAGTCTTATCTTTTAGAGTTTGATAATAGTGAAGTTCATGTATATGTAAATGTTAATGTCATCTTATTTCTATATGATCGTTTTTTTTTGGGTTTTTTTATTGTTTTTTCTTTGGTTCTATCCAAAAATGAGGAAAGAGGAAGAACAGATTAACTTTGCCAGTTTGAACTGAAGCGGGTGATCCCTCGATGTTCATTTTAATTTAAATTTTGTCTTCCTCTAGAAATAGAATAGTCCTTTTTTTTTTAATGTGTTACAATGTTTGTATTTCATATGTTATGATCGTAAATAAAACCAACCACTCCAATCCATGCAGTGGAATTTTAGAATTAGTCTACATGTACTTGTATATTAATTGTCTCATTTTTCTCTTTCCTTTTTTCCTTTTGTGTTCTTCTTCAGACTAAACTGAGGTTAGAGATGCAGTTGGAGAGGATCAAGCAGTCTCATCAGAAAGAGTTAGACGCCAAAGATGAGGAGGTGGAGGAGGTCAGAGCTAGTGCACAAAATAAGGTAAGGTCCTCCAAAAGATGGAGTAAAAATACATGGAATCTGTGACACTTGCGAGCGATTTAAACCCACCGCACACTATACGATCCAACTACGATCTTATTTTCAAATTTCACTTTTTCAGTAGTAGATTTTACTCTGAGTGAATTGAAAATGAAACAAGAGAAGTAAAGGTGAAGGTATGAAAGATGGAGAAAAATATGAAGCCACAGGAAAGAAGATGTGTGAAGGGGAGGAAACAAAAAGTATGAATAAGAAAAAGGAATAAACACAAGGAAATGGAAGCAGAAATATTCAGAAAAGGAGAAATAGCAGGAAAACACAATCAAGAAGATTAAAACAAGGGACATGAAAAACAAGGAAAATTGTGCCTCCAGAAATATGATGTACCAGTAAAGCAATATTAAGCTATGTTTCATTCATTGTAAATTTGCATTAAATCTTAATTATTGATGAACAATTCAAGAACAATCAATCTTGTAGATGAGACCAGTTTTGAAAAAAATTGTCTTGGGAGCACAGGCCAAGTCACACAATCAACCCATCACCTATGAGAACAGGGAGGCTCCTGCATTAAAGCCTACAAGAATTTAAGAATTCAGCAGTCACATGTTTAAAGGCATCGTTTAACAATGTTAAAGCTGAGATGCATGGCCCTACGAGTTATCAGTGTCTGTGATATGGTGTAATATTGAAGCCCTAACAAAAATTGTGCTTCAAAATTATCATTAAGTGCCTCAAAAAAGTAAAAGATCTTTGAGTGACTGGTTTTACCATACTCATTTTCCCCAATAGACTGTAGTGTTATAAAAATCATTAGGAAAATGAAAAATGAAATTCAATTTCCAATCATAAATATCTTGATAATCAGACAGGCGATCTGCTTGTAAAAGTCATGGGATTCCTGACTGACCTAAAGGTTTATGACTCTGATTGCAGCATGAGCTAAATCAAGCATTTTGTTTCAGAATTTGAGGCAATGTTACTGAGTCGCTTTAATGATCCATAAAATTGAATGTTGATATGTGTTTGACCACCAGGTGAAGCAGATGGAGATCCAGCTGGAAGAGGATTACGAGGAGCGTCAGTCCATCATGAGGGAGAAGAAGAATCTAGAGAGACGGGTCCAGGAACTCATGGACAAGCCCCTGGCCTCCGACAAGGACACGGAGAAGAGGCTACGCAAGGACCTCAAGAAGACCAAGGCCTTACTCAAGGATGCCCAGACGATGCTGGATAGACAGAACTCGACGGCTCCCAGCGGCACCAAACTCAAACAGCTAAAGAATGAGGTGAGATATGGAATTAAATTTGATTATGTTAACAAACTGGCTTTATTTATCTGGGTATTGTATGTATGATGAATGTTACCAGATAAAGGGATGTTCATTGAAATACATCTGTTTGAAATAGAAAATTATCCAAATGAATGAGATGAACATCTGTAGCATAGTTCTTCACTTCGTTTATGTCTGTTTTTATCCTAGCTGGAAGATGCTACCTTCGCTACATCTTCGGCGACAAAGGCACGGCAGAATCTGGAAGCAGAATTATCTGACCTGCAAGCACAGTCAGACCTTATGATGAAAGCCAAGTCTGATGTAAGTACATAAAGGTTATTACCGGCTATGTACCATGGAGATGCAATACCAGAGCTGCCAGTCGGTACGATTTAATCATATTTCGTATGATTTTTTCGAAGTAAATTTGCCCATTTTGTCCTGTAAAGTATCCTACAAGAATCTCACATCGGCAATTTGGGGATGTTCATTGGTTCAACGAACACACCAGTCATGACGAAATCATGCATATTCAACCAATGATCCATAAACAAAATTCTACCTGTATGTACATGTAGGAACTATAAAAGGCATTGATCCGTGTTTTTTTTTTCTTCATACAATTTTTGTCAGTAAAATACAACTTTTGGGATTAAAGAATACATTTTTTGAACTTCAGAGGTTGGCAGGTCTGCAATATCCACCAGACCATGACATACCTGTACATGTACATGTGTAGATTGGGGAGGATTTCAGATGTACTGTAAAGCTTTATTGGAAAAGCAGAGGTACAATATATATACAGTGTATAGAAAATAGAAAGGGCAATATAGTTGTGCACATGTATTACTCAGTGTGGAAAAGAAAGAAGGGAGACTTTTCAGATGGAAAGAGTAACTAGGAGATTTATTAAAAGTTTTAAACAAACAAAAAAAACAATAGAAAGAAAGAGCACTATGAAACAAAGAGAATACAAGTGGTATAGATTAAATGATATTTCAGGACAGCGATACTTGCTCATGTCAATGCGTCTGCAAAATTAAAAAAATAATTATAATATAATAACAGCAGATATGATTGACAATGATTTGAACAGCAAGCCATTGGGTTTCAGTCTTACAAACTTATTTTCAACAAAGTTTACAAGAGTGTAAGAACAGCTGTGAAAACATGAAACTGCAGTCATGACCTCGAAAAGTGACAACATCGGTATGTGACGGCTTTATACATGCCTGACTGATTAACAATCAAGGATTAATGAACTTGGGTGTGTTAATATTGGTATGTACATGCCTGAATAAACTTACCTGTTGTATTAGGAATAGTAAACTGTATCACAAGTACATGTACAAGGAATGGAATTTAGCCAAAAGTTCAAGGTATTTTTCTTCTTTAGTGCGATACATTATTCTTTGTTAAATAGCATTATTGTATCAATGATACAAAAAATATAGTGTATTCATCATGTTTCATTCCAATGTTGTTTTTTCATTACCAGAACTAAATTTGACCTCTAACAGAATTTTGTTACCTCAATATGAAGAATACCTCTACATAATTTTCAGGTTAACAAATTCTGTTAGAGGTCAAATTTAGTTCTGGTAAGGAAAATAAAACATTGAAATTTAACTTGATGAATACACCGTTGTCTTCCATATCAATGATACAATAAGGCTAATAAAGAATAATGAGAAATAAACTGTCAATTTGACACACTGACTAACAATGTTGAATTTGTGCCATATTCTAGAGCGAGCGCCATGAACACCCACTAGAGGTGGATACCGATACTGTATAACAAGCCATCATCATCGTCGTCGTCGTTGTCGTTGTCGTCATTGTCGTCGTCATCATCATCAATGAAAACAGCGATGTGTGAAATGGTTCATGTAGCAATGAAAAACTTGATTACTGATTACTCAATGATTTTTCTTTTCTTGTTCAGGCCGAGGAGAGACTCTCTTCTGCAAACCGTGATAAGACGGAGCTAGAAAGCAAGCTGGAGGACCAGGAAGAGGACTTCAACGACTTACTCAAGAAACATAGAGCTCTTATTCACCAGGTATATTATTTTTTCTTTTCTTTTCTCTGCTAAATAAATTGGAACAAACAAATTTTGTAAAGTAGAACTGCCTGTAGCAAAAGCGTTTGATCTTATTCAGCATATGATCGTAGACTGTAGAAGTTCTGGGGGTATTTCATAAAGCTGTGTGTAAAGTTACGAATGACTTTACAAATGATTTGAATATAAAGAGCCAAATGAAATGGGATGCCCAAAGTTTTTTCTGATATTTTAACAAAGTATGACTGTATTTCCAATAATCTCAATTAAATTGTAGCCAAAAAAATACACTCTGCATTAAAATGTTTTGTTAATAATGATAAGGATATGAGAATCCTGTTTGGCTCTTCAGATTCAAGTCATTTGTAAAGTCATGCATAACTATACGCACAGCTTTAGAGGTCATGGGTTCCAATCTCAGCCCATTGCTTACGTTGTCTGCCAAGATATTTATGTGTACTTCAAAACTTGTAAGACTTCAAACTTCAAGTCTCACCAAATGTCTCATCACAAGTCAAACTGCTCTGCAAAAATTTGATTATCCTTTATAAAGGTTGAGTGAAATATATGTCTGCCGTTGGATTATCTAAGGGGATTGTTTTGGAGGACCACAGTAATTTTACATATTGACAGTACATGTACATGTATGTTATAACTACATGACATATTCATTACTCTTGTGGAGCTAAAATTTTCCTTTGAGAATTTTGTTTTTCCTGAAGAACCCCAATACATGGTACTACGTAGCCCCAAGGGTGTCATGCACTGGCAAGAACCCCTGGCTACAGAATTGTGAGCTTACTCTTTTATTTTTGTGTTCTCTTTTGTAGATGTCTAATGAACAAGCCAAGATCAATGAACACCTAGAGACGATAGCTGATCTAACAACTGAAAAACAGGATCTACAAGAGAAGGTAAAGTCAACGCCACTGTTCATTCTTTAAAAGATATCAACTTTGAAAGTAATTTTCAGTATTTCTTTATTGTCATGGATTGGTGAAAATATGTTTCTACTTATGAAAGTTCTCTGATCGGTCAAGACCAGAATCAGCTTTCTTCAATGAGCGTTGTAAGCCCTCTGGGAAGATGTCAAAGATTCAGGCTAACTTTCCTGTCCAATATTTTGTTGTTGTTTTACCTCTATAAGTGCACTGTTCTGCTTTTGAATGCCCATGTTTTATTTTCAGATTTGTGATGATGAATAGTTCCGTAATTTTTCTTTATAATTGTTGAAACGTTTAATTCATGAGATACAAGTTATTTATGAGTTAAGTGACACAGCCTTAGAAAGTTATCAATGACAGATAGTCAAAAACTTTGATACTAAGTATGTTTTCTCTTAAAAGTTAAGTTATTCCAGACAAAATTCTTCAGGGTTTGTTTCTACGCTCAATGGTATATTGATAATGTAAAATGTAGTATTAAACCCTTCTTTTTACTAGGTATCAAAACGTCACAGCAAAGTATCTTTCGTTTTCAGACTCCATGTTTGAGTGATTCAGAACTAAACTTTGTAAGGGTCAATTTCCACTCTCATTGATATATTCTCTTTGTAAATACATGTATATTGTAAAAAATCATTGTTTTAATACATATAGATATCAGATACCAGGTATCGGAACTACAGTGCAAAGTAGATTTCCTATCCTATGGTGGATAGGCCCTAGCATGATCCAAAGCAAACTCTTTATAGGTAATTTTCTACAATTAATGATGTTTTCATGTACTTATATGATCAAATCCTTCTTCCCCCTTCCTCCCCCTCCCTCCCCCTCCCTCCCCCTCCCTCTTTTGTTTGTATAGGTGTCAGAACTACAGGGCAAAATGGACTTCCTATCAGAGTCCATGGTAGATAGGACCGTAGTGAACAGACTAGAATCTAAGGTCAGGGAACTAGACGCCAAACTGGACCTGGAACAGACTACCAAGAACAAGTTAGAGGTATGAAGACCACTCCTTTAGTCCATCTGGCTTTATTTTTGATAGACCAGCTTACTAACATTTTCTAATTTATGGATGTTTCTTTTCTGAGGACCTAGTGACGAGGTATTCAATTAACATGTTATTAACGAATACTTGTTGCTATGTCCAACAAACAAGCCTCAGGCAAGCTTACAGATTGTAAAGAAGAACAAGCTTCCTTTAAAAAATTTTCATAAAACTTGAATATGTTATTTAAACGGTCCATTTCATGGAGTTCATGGAAACATTGAGGATTGAATGAAGTGTACTCTTGTATATAATGTATAATTAATTAGGAAGAACATGGCTTGAATGATACCACTTTTAATTGGAAGGACTTTACATAGATAAGCGTGATATTGATATGCTCAATATGTATTGATATTTGTAATTTGGTTTAAAGAAAGGAATGACCAAAAGAAAATCAAGTCGTGGAATCAGGATCCAGATAGAAACTTATTGTAAGCACTACAGTGTACATATTTATTTGACTTTTGCAGAATGATAAGAAAATAAACATGTGTATAATCATCAATGTTTAATTTTTACTTATTTGGGCTTGTGTCCATTTTATCTTTCATGTTTATGTCTCTTATCGTTATTTCAAACATGGATTTTATTTTTTTATATTTTTTTTTAACTCCCTCTTTGGGCTGATATTTCTCAGTTTTGAATGCTTTAATACATTTTTTTCTAAAAAACTGTTTAAAAAAACTTCTTTAAAAAGCTGACCGTAGATTTCAAGATTTTTGGGTCGGTTGCACTGGGTAATACAACATCTTTTATTTTTAGGCCTTATGCTCATTAGTTTCATATCCAAATGCTCTTCTCTTTATCCTTACAGAACCAAGTGGAGAGATTACGAGACTCCCTTGACCGGTCCAACAGTGACCACAGCTCCGTCCAGCAGAAGGAGATGCGAGGCCAGGAGGCCACCAGGAAGCTCCAGAGGGAGATCAGGGAGCTGAGGGAGGAGCAGGCAGAGATCCAGAGGAAGGAGTCAGAGGCAACACAGAAGAAGCATGAGCTGGTGAGTCGATGTGTTACATGTATATAATACAGTCAAACCTGTCTATAGCAACCACCCAAGGGAAACACAAAAAGTGGTCTTTGTAGACAGGTTTCTTTAGTACATGTTTCAATGAGAACTATTTTCAAGGGAGACAAAAAGTGTGGTCTTTGTAGACAGGTGGTCACTAAAGCAGGTTTGACTGTATATATGGATTTTTCCATAAAGTTGGGGCAAAAAATATGACAGTGTCCATGTAACGTTGGTATGAGATCTTCTACTGCACATGGAAGACAAAATTATCTGTTGAAAATTTGTATGCAATGAATGTTTATAGCAGTGCCCTGCCAGAATCATTCCTGTTTCAGTTGCTTTTCTTCAAAATCTTTGCTTAATACACATATCTCTTTTTACCAGTGTTACATGGACACCATATTCATATAACATTACATAAACCTTGGGTCTATAATATTGATTCACTGTGAAGCTTGAGTACTTCTGAAGATAGTTGGCTATGCTATTTGAGCAAACATTGTTACAGTTGATACATGTAGGAGACATACTTGCTCAGCTGGTTTGTCACAAAAATTGCCCCAACTTCATGGAATGATCCATATACAGTGAAATCTGTCTATAAAGACTGCTCAAAGGAGACAAGAATAGTGGTCTTTATAGGCAGGTGGTCTTTATATACAGGTTCCTTCAGTATAGGTCTTAATGAGAAACCATTTCCAAGAGAAACACAAAATGTGGTCTATATAGACAGGTGGTCTTTCCATACAGGTGGTCGCTAAAGCAGGTTTCACTGTAGTATGAAGATTTAAATTTATGATGATTGCGTAGTGATGTTTCATGTGTGGTTATGGCAGTGCTTCTAACCAGTATCTTCTTACTATATCTAATGTATGTACATGTAGTAAAGATATGATAGTTTCTTTGCCTTAGTCAAATGTGTATCTGAAAATTCATTTTGTCTTCATGGTTAATGAAGAAAAATTGTTTTTGATAATTTTTCATAAACGAGACAGTAGCCTGATATTGTAGTGTGTCCTTAATGTAATAGAAGATGATATACATAATATACAATAACAACAACAACAAATATAATATGTACATCTAGTTTAACATCTTGCACTCACCATCTAGCAAACACATTTGCTTTAAAGGTAAAGACCAGTTTTGGAAACGCCCCTCTCTCAAAAAATGAAATGGAAGCTCTTATTACCAATCATGTGAAAGAATATGTTAATACAAATTTTGCCGAGAAACAGCCTACTAATTGATATATTTGGTAAATTATTATATCTATTTGGACCTGATAGATATAACGCACGTGCCGCGCACGTGTGTTGTAGTCCCATATACATCTTTCTGTGTACAGTGCTTGTAACTTTATCAAGACTTGGCCAAATGTCTTATCATTTTGATGATTTCAGAACCTTGCAGTACACACCAATACTTATATGCTAGATGATCAACCTTTTCTGATTGATTCCACAACGTTTCTTTCACAATGCAGTCGCATGACCATAACTGGTCTTTATCTTTAAAATAAGCCTTTCATACTCAAAAATATATTTTAGGGGCATAGAGGGCACTCTTTTGGTCTGTGTAGTGTTGGATATTTTATCTGACTGCTAAGAAAGCATATATGCTTGTAAGTAAGCAACCGGAGGACTGACGGCTTTAGATCTTCTCTGAGGGACCTGGTAATGAGGGTTAATGCCTTACCAAAGGGCACTAGCGCATCGCCTTAGTTTCGAACCCGGGTCGCCGGATTACAAGACCACTGCTCTACCAACTGAGCTATTGCGCCTCATCTAGCCGGGTTGGCAGCTGAAGTTTGATTTAGTATGACCAATACCATTGCATATGAGAGATTTATACTTTACCCTTAACTTATAAGCACCCCAATCAGAATACTTGGCATGTTGGTTGCTCCCAAGGATATTTAGTACAGAGAACATCTAGTTTATCATCTCTATAAGTGAGTATCTGTCATGGGTTGTTTATCTAAGCTCCGCCTTTGGAAAACAAAATTGAATTGATCAAAAGTTTTTAAGTAAGTATCTGTCATTTGTTGTTTATCTTACCCTTAGTTTTTTTTCCCCCTCCTTTTCTCCATATGAATGTTTACCCTTTCAGCTTTTTGCATTCTATATGTCTGTATTATGCTTTGATATATAATCACCCAGCTCATCCTCTTAACTTAATTTTTATGGAATTATACATTTTTTAGTGTAGAAGTTAGAGAGAGGAAAAAAAGATACAGAGTCGTCATTATCTATCATGAAATTCTACCTGGATTTGACAATTTCGAGATCCTGTAAATACCAAAACATGAATCGTTGTCGTATGAAATCATATCATCATGGAAGAACTATCCTGATAAGAGATTATCCACTTATTTCAGGGAAATTTGCGCCTGGGGAAGGGGTTATGAATTTTGTGATCGGCATCTCATAAATGTCATTTCTTAATCTTGTTAGCACCACATAATTTTGATTTTAATCAAAAGTTCTGCAATGAAATGAAAAAAACAGATGTTTTTTTAAGTCATTGACTACGGGGGTGTATATTCTAAACACCTTTCATCTCACTTATCCTAATTTCTGATCTCCTACCTTTAATCTGTATCATTTGTTATCCTGTGTAATTATGTGTTGTTCTCAACACCAAACAGTTAGTCATTTGTTTGTTTATACCAAGAGGAAAATGTTTTATACATATAAAACTGCTATGCTTTCATCAGTTCAGGATATTTCTCTTTTTTTCTCTCTTTTTTTTCAAAGACTCCAAAGACTTGAAAGTGTCCGAATGCGTTATTAATTCCTAACTAAAATGGCTTGCAGTTTCAACTCTTAAAATTTCCAATGTAGGGGACTGGGATTGAATGAAATTCATCATTATAATTAAATATACACATTAATTAGCATGAACACTACATGCAGTGCATTTGAATTTCCTTCTGCAAGTGAGCAGTAAGCAATAACAACCAAAATGAAAAAGTTTGAAAATATATTACTGTCTCTTGGGTAATAAATTGTGAGAGAAGCATGCATAAATACACACCTGCCTATTAAACCTCTATTTCTTCCTTCTCTTGAAAATTCATAGAGTTGGATCAATCTTTAAAGAGAGTTACATTCACAAGTCTGGAATCAGTTGTGTTTCTCCAGACACTTTCACATTCAAGTGAAATGAAACACGCTTCCAAATCAAATTTGGAGCCATACCATCACTTTTTTTCTTCAATATTTGATGAGATTTCTCTGATAATTGTCAAATGCAGACAATCAAGGATGAAAAGTGATGCTTCCCTGATTGGATTAACTGTCTGGGTTGCTCTAAATTTGAAGCAGTTGCTTCAGCCTCACCCTGATTGGGCGCACTCATTTCCTAATTCCATTCAAGCTGTGAAGCACTCGTCAAGTGCTCTTCAAGGCACCTACAACGCCCTCGCTTGGCAGAGGGTGGTCATGCCGGGATAGATCATTACTGTCTCTGACGGCGCTGAGTTGCTCTCAGCTCTCATTGATGAAGATTCTCTCTGGAGGACACATATAGCAAAGGGAGCTTTCACACTCGTACAAAGGGTGCAACTCTTCTGTATTTTTGTCAAAGGAAGGGAAATACGTAGGATGTGAAAAGGACTGTGTCTCGCATTTTTAAGGTAGTTTATAACCATTTGCTTTGGGGTTTTTTGGACTGCTACAGTACATATATGATAACATGATTCATGATATTAGGGAACAAGCTATCTAGAATAAAAGATACTTAACTTCATGGAATATATTGAAGTACCTACATCAACAACAACAAAATTATAATAAAAATATATATTCACAGAATCTCTATTCAGCCAAGATATTAATTGGCAACTCTTATGCTGTTGAAAGGAACAGGTCGTTGCAAATATCATCTTGAGTTTAATAACCCGTAATTATGGATTAAGATATTCTTTTCCACAGAGGTGTTTTTATTCTCATTCCTCCTTTAATAATCATGCTGCAAGAAACAATTTGTAATATTGAAACAAGAGTTTGGAGGTATCTAGTACCTTTAATGAGGGTGGCAGGTGAGGTGGTGAATAACATAAAAATGTTTACCGGTATGTGCTTGCCTAGGTGAACAAATAATAAGTAGATAAAAATAAACAGCAGGAAGTAGACAGGATCGCACTCTTGTACAATGTATTAAAAGATTAAACATGTATTTAGAGCTCTAAAGTATTATGTCTTGGTGTTTCGACGTGGAGCATGTGTGAACACTGCCCCTACTGGTATAAATCTCAGTGTAAAGCAGGTGTGAATTCACCTCTTGAAGTTGTGTGCTAGTGCAATTAACTCATCCAGAGTAAGAAGATAGCATTGCTATTCTATTCCCTCGATGCTGCGACCCTTTTCCACCCACGTTTACTCTTTTGTTGGCCGGTGACTTGCTGCCTTTGTGCGCCGTCCCGTCTTACTAATTATTTCAGCCTGAAGGTGTCCTTTGAAGCTGGGTAATTCTTGTCAATTTTATCGTCGAGGGAGACTATTTCAAGACATTTTTTGCGCACTCCAGCTTTTGTTGAATGGTGAAATATGAAACATTGAAAAGGGAGGAAGTGGTGTTCATTATTGAGACGTTTTATTAACGTATTTAACCTCGATATGAGAGTTTATAATGTGTTTACCCCTCCCCCCCCCCCTTTTGTGTCTTTTTGCTTCGGTCTTAACTTCATCTCTCCCTTCATCTATCTATTCCTCTCCTTAGTCACACTTTTTTCTATACACTTCAATCCTTCTAGATTTCATTAATCACTTCTTGTAAAGTAACTATTTCATAACTGTTAGATGATTTTAAATGCATTGTATAATTAAATGGAGCCAACACAACAGCAAGCTTCTATAACCACACATTGGGAAAGCAGACACGAACATATGTGGTTTATTTTTTATTTTTTTTAACCAATTTGACTACTGGAGCAGGATGGCTCCTGTATTAAAGCCTATGGGAATGATACTTGTTTTTATGTG